CAAAGACAAGAAAGGTAGAGAGAGATGGTTTTTTAAGTTCGATACCTGTGTTTTTGAAACTAATGAAGATGTCAGAAGACAGCGATTTATTTGAATTATTTAGCCTGACATGTTTACAGTTCCGAAATTTTATAAATATATCACTCTGCACACTGCTTCATGTGCCCAGAATCACCCAATCAGACTCACACATTGTGCGGTTTATAAACATTTCATTAATAAAGGTAGACTGATAGACTCAGACAAATACATAGCACCCAAACACCCTCCCGCTTTTAATTTTGTGAGATAGAGTGTGTCAGAGAGACAGTGAGAGTGTGTGCGTGTTAGTGACTTAAAGAGTTATTCTGACACTGTTATAATTTTTGAGACATTATTTTAAGTTTGAAAACTTTAGAGCACGATAGTTATATAGTTGTATAGTGTTGTTTTAAATAAACTAGTTTTCACGTGTTTACCTCCTCACTCTGGCCCACTTATCCATCTGTCTGTGTCTCTATCTATGTAGTCTGTGTATCATATATATATATATATATATATATATATATATATATATATATATATATATATATATATATATATATACAGTTGAAATCAGAATTATTAGCCTCCCTTTAATTTTGATTTTCTTTTTTAAATATTTCCCAATTGATGTTTAACAGAGCAAAGAAATTTTCACAGCATGTCTGATAATATTTGTTCCTCTGAAGAGAGTCTGATTTGTTTTTAAACACCATGTTAAGGTCAAATTTATTATCCCTTTATGCTAACTTTTGTTTTTGATAGTCTACAGAACAAACCATCATTATACAATAACTTGCCTAATTACCCTAACCTGCCTAGTTAACCTAATTAACCTTGTTAAGCCTTTAAAAGTCCCTTTAAGCTGTATAGAAGTGTTTTGAAAAATGTCTAGTTAAATATTATTTACTGTCCTCAAGGCAAAGATAAAATAAATCAGTTATTAGAGAAGAGTTTTTAAAAGAAAAAAAAAAAAAAATATATATATATATATATATATATATATTTTTTTTTTTTTTTACATTATAATCTGGTTTTCAAATCAGATGTTTTTATATTACAATATGCAAAGGACTAATAAAAGGATTTAAAACTTTAATACTTTTAACTGGAATATTTTATTTAACATATTATAGTGTTACATGTAGTGTATGAAATCCACTGTAAAATGTATTTTATTTCATAAATTAATTGGAGTGAAAACCTAATATTAAAATTAGATGTGCAATTTACACATTGCATTTTTTGAGCACTGGTTGTAATTTCTTTTTCGCTTTTTTATACAGATGAAGGCAAAATTATTACTCCTTATGTAAAATTCTTTTTCAAATATTTCCCAAGTGATGTACATATTTTTAAAAACAACAGTTTAATAAAAGTTTTAATAACTCCTTTATTTTATCTTTGCCATGATGACAGCTCATAATATTTAACTAGATATTTTTCAAAACACTTCTATACAGCTTAAAGGGACTTTTGAAGGCTTAACAAGGTTAATTAGGTTAACTAGGCAGGTTAGGGTAATTAGGCAAGTTATTGTATAATGATGGTTTGTTCTGTAGACTATCAAAAACAAAAGTTAGCATAAAGGGATAATAAATTTGACCTTAACATGGTGTTTAAAAACAAATCAGACTCTCTTCAGAGGAACAAATATTATCAGACATACTGTGAACATTTCCTTGCTCTGTTAAACATCATGGATGGTTTAAGTAGCATAATTCATTCATTCATTCATTCATTCATTCA